TCTAGTTTACGCATTTTCAACATTTCTATAAACTGTAGCGAGCCACCTTAACTTAACTGCGGCAGTTAGGAGCCCAAAATATTAATCTATTAAAATTAATTCCTGTTACAAATTCCGCTACGTGCGGCAGAATAGGCACGAAGAGAGACCTCCACCATGACAAGAACTCTTACAGGTTCCGGCCACTCCCCTCATTTCTTGTCTGTAGTTTCGGCAGGAGGGATCATATGAATAGGCCCTCAAATATCAGGCAATATCAGATGATCAGGATCAAGTTTCTAACCACAGCATTTATTAAATATTCATAAAATTCTATAAACAACATTCTATATTCAACATTTCTATAAACTGTAGCGAGCCACCTTAATTAAGAGCCCAAACTATTATTCTAATAAAATTAATTTCAGTTACAAATTCGGCTACGTGCGGCAGTATAGGCACGAAGAGAAGAACTCTTACAGGTTCCGGCCACTCTACTTATTTCTTATTCTATAGTTTCGGCAGGCGGGATCATATGAATAGGCCCTCGAGTCAATATCAGATGATCAAGTTTCTAATCACGGCATTTATTAAATATTCATAAAATTTGCGATCATCACCTGCTTTAAAAAGGCCCAACCGTAACATTTGTAGTGTGGTAAACCATAGTCCGTGACCAAGTTTGCAATCAGTACAAATATTTTGGCCAAAGATGGCGCAGCTTTCTTTCGTTAACGTTTTCATTATGGTGGTTTCATTCAGCAATCTGGCTACCTTGGTAGCGTGCAATCGTCCTATATTCAACATTGCTCATATGGTTAACTCAGTGAAGCAGATTGACGAATATTTGGATTACGGAGCAAACGCAATCGAAGCCGATGTCAAGATCTCTACATATGGCTCAATCTTATATTTTAAACATGGGTTCCCTTGCGACATAGGTCGAAATTGTTATCGCGAGGCTAGCATTGACAACTACATCAACGCCATCCGAGAAAGAACACTGCCTTCCAGCACAAAGTACAACAACAACCTTGTTTTATTCATGTTCGATGTTAAGTTAACATTTGTGAAGAAACGCGTTTTATTATCAACTGGCGAGATCTTTGCCAATGTCATTTTAATTCCATTGTATAAAAACAATCCGACTAAGATGAAAACTATAATTAGTGTTCCAAATTTCACACAAAAAGATTTCATTAGTGGCGTCTTAAAGCAACTTAATGCTAAACAACCAGCCCTTGTCAAGAAAATCGGCTTCGACATTAGTTTCGAAAAGACCCTGACGGAATCGAACGAGAAAGAACAAGCGCTAAAACAACTTGGTGTTCTACCCGGTCATGCATGGCTAAGCAGCGGAATCTCTAACATTTTTGGATCATTCTATTTGGACGAACTGAGAAAACAGGTAAAACATAGAGATGATAAAAAATACTTCAGTAAAGTTTACGCATGGAGTTTGGACAAAAAATCAACCGCTATAAAGTACCTTAGTATTAACTTGGACGGTGTCATCGCAAACTACCCTGATCGAGTGAACAAAGCGATTAAAGAAATAAATGAGAAGAGAGGTGTAGGGGAAAAGCTGAGGTTGGCAACATTGGATGACGATCCCTTCGAGGTGTATTGAATTATGAGAACAAGTTAAGAAGCAATTTTTACTGTTAATGCACTGTTTACTTTCACGTGGCTAGCTATATTTCGCTCTGTACCTTTTGGCTTAATTTGCTAAATTTGTTTATAATTTAGTTGTAGTACTTGACTGAAATTACCATATTATTTTTACGTTTGTAGCATTGTCTGGTTTATGCTGTGAAATAAACATATATACCAAAACCCATACACGTGTCCGAACTCCTAGAATGTTTATTCTGCTATCGCATACACCAAAAACGGTAATAAACAACCGTTTGATTCAACTCTTTGAAAATACTGAGCTGCAGTGCAAATATGGAAGGATTTTACCAGGGGCGGCCTTGTTACCCCGGAGGGGCCCAGGTGATCTTGGCAGGAAGGAGGGCCCGTTACATGCTGGGGCTACGGAGGACTTTGGACATTGTGGGCTTACCTAACATGGAAGGCGTGAATGTCTTGAGGGGTGCGAGGGTATGTCCCCCCTTGGGAAAATTTTGAAAAGTGAGCGAGCTCATGCAGAGCTTGAGAAATGCAATCAAGTTCAATAGTTCTTAGACATTTTTGTGTTGTTCACGTTTTTTTGCCTTGTTAGTTGTTTTTGTAACTATATATGCAACCAAGAGCAAACAAAACAAACGTTTTCTTTTCCGTTTCACCGCAGCACTATTTTCAGGAGATATATATTCCAAAAAAATATCTTCACAAAAACATTATGTAACTTTCATGGTTAGTTTAAATCAGTCGGCAAAGTCTTACAACCAATCATATATTGAAACATATTAAATAATATTTGTGATCTTAGCGCCAAAATTTTAAAGAGCCGCCTGAGTTCTGAGGAAAGCTGGGAATAACCTTTTCATTAGATATGTCAATGGACAACTGTTTCTCCAGTATACTTCAACACGATTATTAATGTGTTCTTTGATATAATATATTTGAGCTTCGAGCACCTTAAACACGTTCTAATTAAAGCTAAGTGAAATATTCTATTTAGTCAATAAAACTGCATATAAATATTCAATATAAATATACAAATATTCAATAAAACTGCATTTTCCGCAAGAAATTTCACTAACATGTTGATAAAAATTAAAATATAGTTGGGTTTTAGCAAGCAATTTATCTGTAAAGGAAATATCTTAAAAAGTCTGTTAATTTAAGCAACAAATGGCGATAACATGAAGAATGAAACCCTGGGCAGATAATATGAAATTTTGAGAACATTGAATGAACTTGATCTCAAGGATCATGGATTTAAATGATTAACGCATATTTATCCAAACTGGATAAGACAAGTTCATCACGATACTTACAATGTACGTGGCAATACAAGCAAAATCGTTACTAAAATCCAGATATATTATTCCTTTTTGCAAATTATGAATGTTTCGAGTTTGGCACTGCAATTGCAACGGCAAATTGTTATAAATTCTTCTTGAAAGCTTTGATTTTGGCACTGTGATTGCAGCGCCAAATTGTTAGATATTCTGCATGCAAGCTTTGAGTTTGGCTCTGCAATTTCAGCTACAACTTGTTAGATATTCTGCAGCCAACCTTTGAGTTTGGCTCTGCAATTGCAGCGCCAACTTGTTAGATATTCTGCAGCCAACCTTTGAGTTTGGCTCTGCAATTGCAGCGCCAACTTGTTAGATATTCTGCAGCCAACCTTTGAGTTTGGCACTGCAATTAGAGCACCAACTTGTTACAAATTCTGCATGTAAGCTTTCAGTTTGGCACTGCAGTCGCAGTGTATTTCACTTAGCTTTAGAACGTGTTAAAATTGGAAGTTTTCATACTGAAAATCCTGAAGGTATATATACACACCCTTTAGATACCAGTAAACCCAAGGGTGCCAAGGTTTTCGGCGTTGTGAACCGCGTCGCTGCCTGGGAATTAATTAATATTCTACTTCTGTATATAAAGACCGCCGTTGATTTTCAATACAGTAAATTTTTTAATCGTTCTTATTTTGTTCAGATTCATGCTGGAAGCCTTGCCAAACATTGACTGGTCTGCTGAGGAAATTCTTCCTGTATTAAATCTAATATTAAAGAGAATCAACACAACCTTTACTAAAATCACTGATAAACCTGATCTCATGGTGAGTAACCATTCTCACGAAGTGAAAACGCTTTGTAGGTTATACTGTACCTATATGTAAAATGTAACTTCCCAAGATATTCCCATGTTGTAAATGCAACGGTTATACTAAATAATTACATCATTATTGGACTTTTTCGACGAATTGAGTCAAATTTAGAATAAATCCACAATTGCACCCATTTTGTTTCTGTACTGATAAATCTTAGTTGGATGTCCCCTTTTTTTAATAAAAAAGACTAGAATTCTGTGGCTTGCCGTTGCTAATACACACATTGTCTCATTTTACACACTATATGTAGTTTAGACACTATAATATTTTTACCTAGAACTTCTTTTGGCCATATCCTTTATTATTACACCGTAGTGAAAACTGGAATGTCACGGAAGTTTTACTCAAAGGTGAGAAGGCAAAACTATTGCTTCCATACACATGTAGAAATACAGTGAAATGAATGCGGAGAGCATGGTCAATCCGTGAATATGAATATGTATTCTTGAAAACCGACTTAAAATTACAGAAAAAGCTTTTTGACAGCGCTACAAACTTTCTGTTAATGCATTTATTCAGGTAAAACTTCCTAGTATACTTTACTTTTAGTTTTTTCGCATTAAAACGGCCATGTTCGCTCCCTGGACTGGTCTCGCGAGAGAACCGCGAGGTCCATGCAGGTCCTTGAACTCCTTGAAAAGTACTTAAACTGAAAAATAAATTTCAACGGCACTTGAGAAAGCCCTTGAAAATACAAAATCTTTCAAAAGACCTTGAAAGGTGCTTGAAATTCACACAAATATTAATTAAAAAGTAAAATGTACATTTTTATAATTTTATCATGGAAATAATTAACAAAAACGATTCTGCCGTTGTCTGTTCAGTTATAGATACACAGTATCTATAACTGAACAGGAAGAACAAAAAAGTGGCCACGAGCCGCCGAGGCGATGTAAAATCTGAACCTCCCGCATGTCGATTTCACGACATTCGAAATGTGATCGCTGTTTTGACGCGATTTTAGTAGCGGAATTTTAGAGCTCCCTATATCCATGTGTTGACAGCCACAGTATACCTTATTATAGGAAATTAACGATGCACTTTATTAACGCGGATTTTAAAAATTCGCGTTAATTTAATTAATGTTAATTTATGTGATCGTTAATTTTAAGTATGTAATTTTCATTTATCGTTAGTTAAAAATACGTAGATTTGTTTTATATAACACTAACTCTTTGAATATCAAAATACAGTATATTAACGTAAACTAAAAAGTCAGTGCTCCTCTTAACATTAAACCTTTGTTGTTGTTGTTGTTGTGTCTATATTTTCCGATTCGCGTTAATTTAATTAATTTGTCAACCATGGAGATCAGATTCGCGTTAATATAATCATGGTTTAAAAGACCTAGAAGCAATCCGCGTTAATTTGATGTCGCGTTAATAAAGTGCATCGTTAATTTCCTATAATAAGATATAATTGACGTTGATATTAACCCATTAAGCGCCAGCGCCCTCCCCTTCACGAGTAAAATCGTCTGGCGCTAGACAGGATAAATAATAAAGTAGGGCGCATCAGGGCGCAATGCAACTCAATGCATGCATGGGTTAACTAGACACATGGGCAGATAGGCCAGTTAACCCACTAAGCGCCAGCGCTCTCTCCTTGACCAGTAAAATCGTCTGGCGTGCATGAGACAGAGTAAAATAATAAAGTAAGGTACATCAGGGCGCAATGCGACTCGATGGGTTAATTATTATTTACTAATATTTCGATTGTATTCTGTTTGTAAGCCATTAAAAAGTCCTTGAGAATTTTCAGTTTAGTCCTTGTACGACTAGGATATGTCCTTAATTTTTTGTTGGGAACCTGCACGAACCCTAACGCGGGTCGTGAACCCCAGACATCATCCATCTCTGGGGGTCAGATTTGCTTCATGAAAAATATAGGCAATTTAGTTATTAATTATCTGAATTAATTATATTGATTTCACTGATAGAAATATGATAAAGAGGATATACTGTGTCTCTTAGGTCAGCCAGAATGTATTTAGCATTCTATTAGACAATCAAGTTTATATATTTTTTGCATTGCGTGGTCAAAGAAACATAAACGTTGCATTCTATTAAATACCGTTATTTTTAAAAAGTATATATTTTGTGGCTGCCGCGATTCCTCTGTCTTAATTGGCTAATTAATATATAACGCATCGCCGAAAGTATTGCAGAGATGCCACTAATGTATACACTATAATCCGTTGATTATATAATAAAACGAGTCAGGTTTTCATACACACATACATACATACATGGAATTTGTCAGTTCAATTATTTTGTACAAATAATTATACATTATTTTGTACAAATAATTATACTCTATTTCGATTTTACAGGTCTTTATTTAACCATCTCAAGGCAAGGGATAGTAACAACTCTTCCTGGTACAAAGGTATAATATATTGTTTTCGTCTAAAAGTTCTGTATAATGTCCCCGTAATGAGGTATATAATATTTTATTAAAATCATACTAGTATTCTAATCATACTTTCATTCTACCACAGTTAATAGACGTAGACTTCTATTAACTGTGATTCTACTAAATGTTTGATCTCTGATTCTACTCGCTCTCGATTTCTATGAAGTGATATAGTTGATTCGGCCTTCGCCGTCTTATATCACCTCATATAGAAATCTCAAGCTCGTAATCTAATTGTTAAATAATATAGAGAGAGTAGCAAATTTCGTTTCTTTGCGTAACCTGGTGGTTCTACTGTATACGTAGATCTTAGTTATTTTAATTTTTGTATATAATCACTGAAAAGTAATAACAAATAACAAATAACACGAACTACTACTATACAAAGAAAATAGTAGCTATACAACATTCGTGCACGCTAACACTATCAATTGAAACCTTCTGCAACAATGGTGCATGTATACACTCAATTGCGCATATGCTTTCTGCATATACTTGACCATAGGACTCAGAAAAGCATATTATCAAACACAAATAAATACACCTAATATAATGCCATTGCATTGTCCTGAAATTTCATTATTTATCTGTTATTCCATTAGGCTGTCGTAGCGACCTGTATGCGTTTAGTACTGCGTGAACAAGTCAACGAATCTGACGCCGAAAACGCTTTCAGTTTTTATCCCCCACCGTCTCTCAGCTTTTGTCAACTGGTGGTAAAGTTAGCAGCACGACTCATGTTTTCATTGAAAGATAAATACTCTCTGAAAGATTTATGTGGTGGAACCATAGAGTTTGGAAACGATGATAGAACACTGCGTGTTCTTGTGCATATTTTGCTACCATTGTGCATACGCCTTGGAACGGGGAGTAAAGGTAAGTGATTGAAACATGGTGGATTTCAGTACACATGCAGGACGGTTTAAATTTAGGAACATCACTGATCAGGTCAAGTGTCATAGTGCCCTTCCGTTCAAACAGTATACAAATTATGAAAATAATGAGTAAAATGCAATTCAACTTGTAAAAAACCCTCGTGTAACTCGCGAAATTCCCCTTAGACAAAAGCGTCGCTGACTAGAGAAAGATTGTACGCGGGCGCAGAACCAGCTTTCATCCAACAAAATCGAGTGGCGATGTTGTTTTTACTATTTTATTTTTGTCAATTTCTCGATTTATTTGAGTGCCATGGATAGCCAAGGAATATAGTGGACTGGAACACAGGCTAAGGAATAGCGAGAAGGATCTACTCGATGAAAGCACAAAACCTCTAATGTTGAAGCTAATTGAACCCTGCCGTTTATACTCAATCTATGTATAGGTAATAGCATGGTTTCGAGTGCAATTTGGATATAACATGCACGAGTGAGTTTTTCAAAGACCTCAAAATAGCACGAGTCCGAAGGACGAGTTTTAACTTACGCGTTTATAGCGAACATTCCACCGGCAAAGTTTTCCTGGCTTTGTTATATCACATTAAACAACGCTAACAGCTTGAAAATTCCACTCAACTATGTATTTTTTGTTAGTCTTGTTTAAGGTAAATGCTTTTCCATTTAAAAATAAAGATAAAAGCCATATTTTCCACGCGAAGGCAACTTTTACTTTGTGTAGCGCGGCGCCATGTTTGTTTTGTTTTGTTTTGAAGCAATCTGTGACCGTTACTTCTTTAAACTAAATTGCTTTAAACTGATTGGTTGATTTAATCATCACAATGTTTTTCCACCAATCAGATCAGTTTTGCACTGTGATTACAGAAATTGCACTGTGATTACAAAAAATTGCACTGTGATTACAGAAAATTGCACTGTTATTACAGAAAATTGCACTGTGTGTTTGGGATTAACTGCACTGAAATCAACCAATCACAGTCGAGTAATATCTTTATGTATATTATTAGAGCTGTATTACAGAAAATTGCACTGCTGTTTGGGATTAACTGCACTGAAATCAACCAATCACAGTCGAGTAATATCTTTATGTATATTATTAGAGCTGTAACAGCCTAACAGGTGGACGTGTATTTTTTGTATGGTTTTTCACTTTTGCTAAACATGAACAAGACTGATATTTTTCTGTGATATTTGAACTGTGATATTTTTCTGTTTACATGTAATCACTTTAATCTTGTAGAAACACGAAAGTATTTTTAAACGTTTATTAAAAGTTTGTGTACAATTTAGCCATGCAATGTTTTAAAAAAAAATAAAAAACAATGCTTCGTAGCTAGTTTTTTGGTCTAGCGATATTCGTATCATGCATATGCAGAATTGATGTATAGGCATAGACTCACAATTTATTTGGCACTCAAAACGAAGGACTATATTGAACGCTTTTTTTCATTAGAAACCGGTCCCGCGAACATCGCACCGTGCTACTGTAGGGAGCATCCTTAAATGTTGGAAATGCATTTTATCGAATTTAAATTAGTACGAAATGTTTGTGACTGTCGATTAACGCTTGCTTTGGGTGAAATACAATATTTCAATTCTAGCGGGTGGGGACTAAAAATGGACAATCTAAAACCAACTGTAAAATGAGTTTGACACATCTATTTTGGAGCTCACAAGAACGCATACGAAATTTCATTACCTCATACTTACGGAATGTCAAAATTGCTTTAGGAAAGAGAAAATAGAGAAATAGAGAAAATAGAGATATACCGTAATGTCCGTATACCCTGCCTTTCAGACCAACCACGAGCATCAAAAGACGACGTGTCATACGCTGTGTCCTGTTTTCTTAACATTATCGTAACACCGTTTGTTGACATGAGTGTATCTGCTCGTCGTCTGTCGAGTTCCATTATGCTTAACGATGCAACCAGTCCTTCGTCGCCATTTGTCAAACGCGCTTTATCAAGAAGAAGTGACGCTGCTGGATTTTCACCATCCATATATAATGCTGCTTATTTAGGTAATTTGCATGCGTGCCATTTGTGCCATGCATACATTTGATTTTTTACCATATTAGCACAACAGAAACATACATTTATAGAAAGTGATCATTTGAAGTGTACAAAAATTATTTATTTATTTATTTATTTATTCATTTTGTCACACACATTAAAGATATACATTTACGTAGAGATAACAATAACAATAACTAGAGAATGCTGCGACAGGAGAAGAAAACAGAAACTAAATTCCAATTGATATTCGACCCCTTAACAATTAATGGATAACGAGACGTACTATGACAATTATGCACGAACATATCACAGATTACATGGAACTTAACATATAGGATACTGTACAACGAATTATAGAACAAGATTAACTATGGTGGTATGTAGGTAAACAGTTTGGCTTTGTAATAAGATTGTAGATGGTGCTTGAAGATCTGTAGGGAATGGGCGGCTTTGATGTTCGGTGGTAGATTGTTCCAGAGAATGACAGTGCGTGGGAAATAGGATTGTCGGAAGAATTCTTGATTATTGGAGACGATTATGTTATAGTTGTTAGGGTCGAAGTTGCGTGTGGCATAGGGGTTAGTTGCAGGTGTAAGGTATTGGTTAAAGGTGACATTAATAAGGTTGTTGTATTATGACATATATATGTGCTAATATAAGTCAGAACATTGAGTGACTGGGTGGCATGGGGTGAGATTTTCGAAACGATGAAAAGACAATGAACTGTTTCAATAAAATTAGGCCTATGTCGACTTCAGGCGATTTGGGACCTATAGAGTATAGGCGTAAAACTCCTTTTTTACTGTCTTTTAAGACATTAAAATGTTTTAAATAGAATTGTTTTTATCGTATAATGTTGCTTTATTTCATTGTCCAAAAAGAATGAGGTGGCAAAGCCTGCGATGAAATTCAAATAGTGTTCACAAATAGTGTTAACAAACGAGTCAGTTCGACAATCGCTACAACAGGGTTAATCTTTTTTCCAGGCTTAAAAGTTCTGATAATTTGTTTTCCTTACTTCCTCTCAAATGACTGGCGAACTATGGCATCCGTGCTAAAAGAAGTTGTCATGTATGATGCAGGTAACCACCGAAATCCATTCTTCTGTACTCTGTAAGGTTTTTGCTGCAAGGTCAACTGGTATTACTAACTTCTTATTAACGAACGCGAGGTCTGTACAGAGAAATATCGGACTGAGGTCTTTTTTGTACAGACCGAGGGGTTGGTTTTTACAAAAAGACTGAGGTCCGATATTTCTCTGTACATACCGAGCAAGCGAGGTTAATAAAAGTTTATTATATGGCATTTTGAAACAAACATTGAAATGCATGATTTGAAATGCGTATTAGTAGCGTGGTATACACATTTTGTCGAAGAAAACAAAAAATACCGATGTATTCCTTCTTTTCCACTAAAAAACATTCGCAGATATCTTTTTAATAACAAATTAAATTATAATTTTCAATTAGTTTTGCTGTTTTGTTTCAAAATGCATGCAAGTACTTACAGTAATGTTGTTTTCCCAAACCGGTTTGACATATTTTTACAATGGCCAATCACATGCGAGATTAAAATTCCGAACCTAATCAAGTGTGGAAGTGAGATTTGAAACCGATGTTACCTGAGGCTTTTCCTTCTCACCTTTCGTTTCTTTCGCCTCGCAAAGATTTCGCCTCGCAAAGAGCCTCCGGAACCAGAGTACATTTTGGAAGGCAAATTAAAAATAGTTAATTATAATTTTTATTTATTCTTTGTTTTATTAACGCGTTGCTGTGCCAAAAAAAATTTGTTTCTGTAATCTGTTTAGGAAACGAGGCGTTGTTCGAGTTTCTGGAATTCATTATTTTGCATCGTTCACCACTGTTTTTATTGTTGTTGCCAATCATCCGTACCAAGGTTCGTATTAATTGAAAATGGTCTGGTTTTTATGGTAATAATTCTGGTTGCCCATTTCTGTGGGCCTTTAAACTTTGTGCATATAGCACGTATATACCGCTCCCTTGACTTATTGCAGTGTTATTTAAGGAGCCAAGAGCGAAATAAAGGCGGCGAATAAAATATCGTGGGTACTAAAATACATGCATGCAGTAACCCCTCGCCAATATTTTCCAAACATTAAATTAACATGAAGTATTCAGAAATGGCCAACACTGAACGCAGGCTCGCGTTCACTTTAATTTTTAATTTTTTCATATTTTTTGTGCAAAACTGCAAAATAGTTCAAAGATTCGTACTTTTAACTATACAACAATAAATTTCCGAAATATATAATGTAGGTATATTATTTTGAAATGTTCATTCAACTATAAACTACTTTTGCCGATAGACTGTTTTATATACAAATAAAACAAATTATTAGGTAATTTCAGTTCAGTCTTCAAATCAATTTGTTCTCCTTTACATTTTAAGATTTTTTTCTCAAATTAAACGGTAATTTATGAAACTTATAGCTGCGTTGAAAAGGAAAAAAGTTCATGTTTTTAGGCAAAAATTTAAAGCAACAAAATTCGTAAACATTAAATATTCAAGGCACACTTGCCGTGTATTTCACGATTTCCCATAGTAAATCAATTCTTCTCATTTCTTCAAACAAAATTGCTTCAAGCTTGTTGTATATGAAACGATTTTCCAAATATATGTCTTTTAAAACTGAAATCTTGCTTACCCACTCCTACAAGCAATCAGCCATATTTTTGAGATCAGTGAGGATGGTCACGCCCGCGATCATTGATGAACTTTAGACTTGGCTAATGCTTTCGTTTCCCCGGGTGTAAATAGCCGGGGGAATTAGTACCCTCGCCCCGGGCTTACGCCGGGAACGGCGCTCCGCCCCGTTGGCTCGGGGACACGGTTAATATTCTTTTTTCGTTCGTACATTCGTAAATGTATTTTGGCTACTAACTTCCCCACGGTTGAAACGTCGAATTTCTCCTTGTATTTGTCTGGTATAGTTGCATCCGTACCAACCAAAGCACGTAAGGCCACTTTAGAGGCGAAGATTTGGATAATATCCTCATGTTTCGCACAAAATAGGATTAGGGGTAGTGTTGTGATTCGGATCACGATGAAAAAGAAATAATTTCGTGCACAAAACATGAGGATGCAACCAAGATTTGCAATAGATTTCAGTACCGGTATTTAGACCCAGTTCACACGTGGACGCGGATTTGTTTGGACAAACATTTTAATGGGGATTTACCATTTCAGTCCACGCGTATCCAACCAATACGTCCGACGTCGAAATATGAAAACGGGACTTTTTATAAACGACGATGTAACTCTACTCTTTTGTGCGTCGTTGACATAGTCATTAGCTGATGGTGCTCATGTTGGCGTATGTGCAGCAAACAATACTAGTGTATTCTTGTAGACCATTGAAACCGTTGCAGTAGGCCGGACCTTTTTGAAACGTATAAGCGTAAAGAAGGCCTTGAAATAATTTTAAAGATATTTATTAGAATGCATTCCCAAATGAATGAAAGATTATTTGTAAATATCCCTCACCATATTTGTAAATTACCCTCGCCATATTTGTAAATTTCAATGGAGTTGCCATATTTGAAAGTCAAAATATTTGTAAATTTCCCTCATCAATTTTAGATCCCTCATCTAAAGCCAACAAACGCCCGTGCAGGTTCTCTTAAAGAAGACCTATTGATACGGTTACAGAGTCCAACAGACCCAACACCATCAAAAGAAGAGTGGATGCAACGGTTTATTCAGGACCTTGGCGTCCTTACAGGCGGTGAACAAAATGACATGTTTTACTGCCGTAATCCAAACAGTCCTACCGCTCGTGCTGATTTCAATTCGGTGATAGATGTAGATTCTTTGTCTGATTCCGAATGTGCCCACATAACGCAAGCACGAGTTAGCGAAATGCGTGATAGCCACGTGAAAAATGCTCAAACAGTCGACGTCCACGCGCGGGATTCGTTGGAGGTGCCTGAACGTGGTCGCAAGTTATCCAGTGGGAGAAAAGAAAGTATTGATAAATCGATACGCAAGACACTTAAAAAGAAAGTTAGTTTCGATAAAGGACAATCCTATAACACTCTTGAAGAAGCGAAAGAAGAGGAACCAAGACAAAAACGATCTCTCCCAAGACAAGAAATTGCTATAGACGTGGAGTCGCCGATTAGTAATAAAAAGCTTTCAGACATCTACCCAGTTCTTGCTTCTGAAGGACAGTCAGGTATTGATGGGCAAAGTGGTCAAAGTCAGGACAAGACAAGAAAAATGGGAAAGTATGGAAAACTTACACATGAAAACACAGGTTTGGATAGTTCCCAATCCACTGAGATGTCAAGTTTTAGTGGAATTTCACAGGAAAGTGTTGATGAAAATAATGAGAATGCTTGTCCTGGTGCTGATAGTAATCTTAGTACTAAAACGGAATCTTATCTATCTGAAGGTCGCATGGGAATGACATTGAAGGTTCCAAATTTAGTTGTTAAGGCTACCATAACAGAGAAGTCAGATTCTAGAATCTGTGGTACCAATAATACAGTTCTGTCATCGAAAGCCGATTCTTGTGAATCCGAGAGCGACAGTCCAGGGTTGTTAGAGCTCCCGCAGGTAGTGAACAAGACCATGGCAGAGAAACTGAATTCTGGTGCATCCAATGGAAATGATGGCGTTCTACATAGCTCAGTTACGAACTGTAAAGTTATCGTTGACGATAATGAACCATCTAATTCATTAAACGAGACTAAATTTTCTCAGGATTCCCAAGATTCCAACGAAACAGACTCCTCTCATGATGGTTCTGAAATAATGTTACTTCCAACTGACGACAGTAAAAACAAAAATGGTGGTTCCCCTAAAATCCTGGCGAAAAATGACGAGAACACCCGTTGGTCATGCTCTGAGCTTGATAGTTCTAAAGAAACTAGTTTGTAAACTAGTGTGTACTACATTATGTAATATTTATTGTGAAATATAAATGTGCTTTGGATTTGAAAAGCGCTTGGTATGACGAAAATAACATATATATACGGCAGAATATACTTTAGCAATTGCAAATATAAAATTAGTTGAAACTGAAAGGTACTGTAAATAAATTAATAATTTCTGGTTTCTGGTTGTTTTCTTTGGCGTTTGGAATGTATCGAGTTTAACGGGTTTTGTTCGTTCAGTGTGCTCGCAGAAGAACTATTCTTGTGTAAATGTGATTGGATCAATAATTTTGAACATCTGAATGGATGTACGCATGACGTTGTTTATTAAATGATCGATGTTATTACGAATGTTGTTTATGCATGAATGTACTTATGACACAGGCAATGAATTATATAGTACGAGAATTTTAACTCCCCCCCCCCCTGCCCCACCAAGCTCGTTCCCATTCCTTGTATCTCGGTGTGAGGAAGTGGTGTATTGAGGCGTTCTGAGAAATTATGCGTTTAAGATATCCTCTAAACGCAATTGTTGAGGTTAAAATGTCTACAAGTATTTAGAAAACATTTCAAGCAGTTTCAATCTCGTCTCCAGGCCTTTACTCTTTTGCATCAGTTTATTATCACGCATATCCCGAGTTATCTTGCAAGTATATGCACGTTGAAAAAAACAGCTGTTTCCTATGTTCGGCAACATAATAATTGTAATATAATGAGAACTGACCAAAAAATCCAAACTTTCATTTTCTATTTTGACTGACAAATTATTTTAGTTTGCAAACTCATTGGCATCCAACAGTTATCTGCACGTATCAATAACTTTTAAAATTTATCGCTTTTCACGCAAATTGCTTTAAGTGAATTCATATTAATAATGAATTGCCGAATTCCGAGTAAAACCACTATACTATATAGCGTAGCGTAGCTTCGATGTTTTGTAGGCGGAAATAAGCAGCAGTCAAATGAAAAAAATTGCGAATTAACTAGCTATTTGGTTTTTGTGGTACAAGGAAGTTGCTTTTACGATTCAAAAACAATTTCAGTGCGGGTATACTGTACTGTAGTTCATCGATATACATTTATTTGTATATAATTTAGAGTGATAGACAATACTCATGAGTTGCGTTTTGGCGGTTTATTTGAAGTGCTGACTACCAGACTTTTCGAAGCATTTGTTACCCAATAACCTGCTGTGTTTTATGCTCGCAAATGCCGATCATTTTCTAAGCGTTGTCTTCACAATAATATGTGTAAATTTAAATGATCCACGTCTACAACAGCATGTGTCGTTCATATTAACCGTTTTAAATGAGATGATATACAGTCATGCAACTATTTCTTATGTTAGATTGATTTTCTTAGGGTTATAGTTCAAGAAGTATGTCATGATTTCTATTATAGTATTAGAATTTTATTTCGGATGCATATCGGGCACAGTCTTAGCTATTAATTTCAAGCCATATTTTTGACAAACTATTTTTTCTTCAACTGATGCATGTTCTGGTAAAACCTCAGCGGCTCTGTGGCACTTATTACAAACACTATATATACACATGCAGACTCGTGCTTTTAAGAACTGCTGTTCTCTGTCGATAGACTTGTGTATGCTAGGCTATAATTGCAATATGCTAAAAGAGTCAAAACAATGAGTTGCCCAATATGGCATGGAGAACAGTAGGATTCTCAAAACAATGTCAATGAAAAGTTAGTGAGAATGGGAATGCCACGCGTGAGTTGTTTATTATAGAAATTAAAAAGTGAGACGAACATGCATGTGTATTTAGCATGTTTACACGAGATAGAATCAGAAATTATATCTATAGTTTCTTTCGTCTGTAACGAAAATTTATGCTGCTAATCTCGTTTGCGATTGGCTATTGTCAGCTTTGTTTATAATATATTCAGCGCAGTCTGATAATGTTTATAGTACGGCCTAGTCGGTACAATTTACAATCATGTGAACGGCGACTAAACACAACATGAAGAAATATACATCCTACTTGTGTTATACTACGAAAATTATCAGAGAAAGTGTTCGAGCTAGGTGACTGACTAAAACGCCCGGCCCGGATATAATTTATTCCATTGTGGACTAAAACGTACAATGTTATAGCCTAGTATGCTGTCGGCAAGTAACTGCGCGGGTAATGAATTCGTAACTGTAATGCATGCTGTCCTAGATGAATAATTGATGAAGTAAAATATCTGGAATTAAAACCGCGGAGTCAGTATTAGAAAATATGGCGGTTTCATATTATATGAATTATAATTGAACAATGAGACGAATAGCACTTATTCTTCCAAGACGTTTTATCATTCTGCATAGGATGGAAATCATTTAATTGTCTTTCTACCTCGTGGTTAGAGAAGTTTGTACAAAATACGGTCGCATTTCAAACTAATTGAGAATTAGACTAAACCAATCTTGATTTGGAAAGAGGGATCAGACCGCAAAGCCACAAAGTAATGAAGATATATACTGTTTGCTGCAACAATTATCATTTCAGACAGATACATTTTGTTTCATCGGACACCGCACTGGAGCAAACAAAGAGCGATATCACGAAACAATACAAGTTCGTATAGATCTGAGTGTATATACAGTAGGTAAGAAGATTTAACAGAACAAATACAACTAGTGTTATATAGTTTCATGCAACGAGCACATGCACGTGAAATAAATACAGTCGTGCTCAAATTTAGTGCTGCTATGTAAAATTTTTAATAGAGCGTATAATTTCAGTCAGTTGATTGTGAATTTGTTGTAATGAGGCACGATGAAGGTTGGAATGATGTAAGCTTCCGCCATTTTGTACTATTGACTAACTGAATATTGTATATATATTAATTTGTTAAATTTCTATATATGACTTATGTAGACTTGTAGTCTTTCAAAATTGCAACTGCATGCAGTGGAATTTTCATAACAATGACATGTGAGTACAATAAAACACAGTGACTGCTTGGCACCGTTGTTTCGGAATGAAAGTGTTACATTGACAGTGTCTAAGTAAACTCGCGCAATTTGATGAATCTAAAGCATACACATATGAAAACTGTCAGCAACTGCATGTATTGTACGAAAAACCCGAAACTTTGCCTGCCCAATTTAAAAGTGCATGCTTGTCAGCATGCATCCATTCTTTTTCGCAACATAAAAATATAAAAATGCATGCTATTCCGCCAAAAATATGACTCCAAGGGCAAGGCTCGTATGAGTTTCTACCATGCAACGCGTATATAAAATACAATATTATGTAGCTACTCTTCGATAAATGAAACACTATATCATCGTTTTGATGGATATAAACAATTCAAAGCGCTATATATAACTTCGCTTATTGCATGTTGGAGACAATTTTCGGTCCTATAGACTATATGTTCTTTAATGTCTCTGTTGAAAATGTTTATTGCCGATTGGGTTTTAATATTATGTGCATGTATAAAATTATGCTATAGCATTGATCTTTCGAGCATTTAGAATTCGAATCTAGCAATTTATTACTATAGTGGACCAGATAAACTAGAAAATAAATTTATGATGTGGGGCAGAACCATTGATATGTGCGTAGGTAGAACCAGCCTTTCTTTTTTCTTACAATCTGTTACGTTCAGTTGGTTAACTTCACGTTACCGTGCAGCAATGTTCGCTTATATATCTATACAGAATGCACTGTGCAGCAAATATGTACAATTATTATACTTTGTTTTAAGGAATTAACTTAAGTATGTTTTTTTTATTTTATAGACAACTGAGGACAACGATGAAAATATATTTTGCATATTTTGCATTATTTGGAATTGTCCGTGCAAGGTACATGTATATATATATATATACTGATGCCGGCTTATTTTAAGTTAAGAATAACGTGCATACATGTACTGTGCTATAAACCAAATTTGCTGTGCAGTGATTCACTATAATGTGATATTTTCTTGCTTTCTGTCTATTTTACAGGGGCCGTTCACTGCACTTAGCACACCGCTTTGAGATGGACTAATTTAGAGCGATCTCAACCCGAGGTCGGTTCCTCTGCATGACTTCTTGCGGAGTGTCCACATTTGTACAAAAACTTGAAAGAATTTCCGAGTTTGAAGAAAGAAATTAGCCCGGTCGTAAAACGTAAACCGATGCTATACCTCTTGAGGTGGTAGTATATATAAATCCAGTATGGACCGGTCTGGGATCGATCTCAGCTCGTCTTTGCATGGTTATCCAAACTTGGCCCGATCGGCTCCGAACCAATTTCTGATCGATCCAATTCGCTAGTATGAAATTTTCAGTATTGCTTTTACTCACTATTGCTTTTTTCAAGTGTTTTAATTTCATTTTGCTTTTTAAGTCAGTCGAGTGGTAGTGACTATAGCTATATAATTATATGCATGGATTAGGAAAAATTAATATTCATTAGCTACGCGTTCTGTTTTTAGCTGGAGAGCGAGGCCTAAAGGCTGACAACAATTGATAATCAAATAGATCGTACTCAAATTTCAATCTTTTGAATTAAGATAGCACAATGCATGGGAAAGGCGGTGTAGTCTGTCAGAGGTGGTTTTCGCTAATTTTACGGGTGCCCCAATTCATCTGCCGCGCGACCGCTGCCGACATGCGTGCGACGAAATGGTCGTTCGATGGTGAATATGCAATAGATATCGTTCTTATATGGGACGCCGACAAAGTTCTAACATTAAAGCAATAAAGCTCGCTGTCTTTTTTCATTTTCACCAACCACGAAAACTACTGTATGGCTGTATGAAAGTAAAATGAAAGAAAACGAAAACTTAAAGGGGAAAATTTTCTGGACAGAGATTATTCCATGAACAGCATGTGCTGATGTCGTGCTGATACTGATTTTTTTGATATCACACAAATATCTTATCCTCTTTCCCACTGAACACACTAACGTACAGGGTAAATGAGTGAAAATCACAAAGAGTAAAATATTCAAAATGTTCCGTCACAATCTCGGATTCCCGATCTGTAAGGTTGCGCAACAATTGAATTTTTATAAAAGTTTAGCTTTCAAACGTTTTCGTACCTTTATCTGCTTTCTTTATAAAGCAATGGATTAAATATTTTGGTCAGTAGAAAAATCAATAGTAAAAAACTCCCGTGAAGCGCTTAAAAATCGAAGGGCTATATTTATACTCGCCCTATGAGGTCTCCTTTATGTTAACCGTGCGTTTTTTAACGCATGCGCAGACAAAATACCTACATGTTTACGCTGACCCTATAACTCTAAAACGGGGTCATAAGCTGCGGGCATGAATCTATGCAACGCAAACACTCTCATATTTCCGCCATCTTGTGACTACACGGTTTTTTGAGGCTGACCAAGCAGTCGAGATAAATATATTCTCAATAGACTCTACTGTATACATTTTGACTCATAGAATTCGGCCAATACGCATTTCGATTAAAAATAATTGAAACGTTTCAAATGTAATAACTCTTTATTAAATCTATCAATCTAGGATTTGGTGAAAATTATCAGAAAATCTTTATTTAATTGATCAAATGACGTTTAATTTTATAATCTGTCACTACATGCAGACAGTTATAAATCGTCTTGCCTGAACTGAATATATAGTTTTGGACCCAATTCCCATGCAAAGGTGCATGGAAAATTGCGATTTCGACCAGCAGTTTTTATTCGATTGCTATTTGTCCATTTTTCTTTATATAATAACACAAGACATGCATGTGTCATTGAACAGTTGAACGCCTGAACTTTTAAATTTAAATAAAATATATATTATCAGGAATGGATAAACTCGATATCTTTAATGCACATGAAACATATATACGCTATAAGGTTCGATTGTACCTTTTTGATATACACCTGTGTGCATGGACAACACGCACATTGCGAATGCAGATAAAATTTCCATGCGGTGAGTTTTGAAATACGAATATGTTAGACGTTTTATGTTTACGAACGGTTTGCATGGTTAGTACAATAAACCGTTTACGTGTTGTTATGTTTCAATAATTTAGTACCTAAATAGCTATAGGGAAATACCGTGCATAGACTTTCAAATAACCATTTTGTTCCTCACAACTGGAACTTGACTGCATGAATATTCTATAAAAATTAAATTTGCTCGCATCAAATGAAAGTTAACTTTTATAACTATACACATCAGGCCTATGTGATATTCCATGTTTATCTGCATGGCTTCAGACTACATATTGTTAACGAATGTATATCCTATAAGAATTAAAGCTTCTTTTCGTAAGCAGTTATTTCTCCAGAAAAACAAAACAGAATTTAAACTAGAATTCAGTAAAAGGAGTGTTTCGGACCACGTTTGTACCATGTAGGCAACTTCGTTTCGACTGTCAATAACTCCAGCTATGATGCATGCTGGCAAAAAACACACATACGAACTTATTACAACGAGAAAACAGGATTTTGCAAGTTTTAAGTTTTGTAAAAGACTTTTATGTTTGAAATGCGGTGCTTCTTCATGGTGTATACGTACTCTGCAATTTTTCGGACGTGAACCAATATTTCGCGATTGTTTAGCTGTTAAATAAATTTTAACGTACATATATACCAATAGAATCATACAGAAAATAACCTCGGCCGTTTTAAGTTTCACAAAAGAATCTGTGTAATAAAATAAGAGAAGTGCTTGCGCTCCACCAACGAACCAAACTGCCAGCAAACATTGGAGAAGGCGTTCTTTGGTCACTTTAGTCTTGTGGAGGATTGGATGGACAATTCCCAAATACCTTTCGCAGTTCATAACAATCATTGTTTCAAACGATATTCCGGTGAATAACAGCAACGAACCAAGGTTAAGATAGTTTATAACAACTGTTGCTCTATTTAATGTTATTTCTCTTGCCAAAAGTAGCACATACAAAGGTCCAACGAACAAACCAACGGCCAAGTCGTTTAACGAAAGAATCAAGATAAGAAAATTTGTCATATTTCTACGGAGTTGAGTTGATTTCCAGTAAGCCAAAACGGTCACAGAGTTAAGAGAAATAGTTAAAATAGTTACGAGCACAGTGATACTGCAACATATTGTGTTATTCACCAAGATTCCTGGGGATGTATAGTCGATAATGTAACCCAAACTATCCAATGGATCGTGTCGCTCATCAACGTTCTTGTGACTATCTGAGGCCATTTTTAGGAATTCCAGTGTTTTGAAGGCTTATCTGAGCAGAGTGAATCGTCTTAGCAGAAGTTCTATTTATTGTGTTTGACTGTCGTTGATCTCACTCGTTGCTATACGCTGTATCGGCTATGTTTATGTTAGACTCAACTAACTTGTCACTTCATTCTTAATGACGTGCATTTCATTGTCAGATTCATTTAATAGCAACATTTTCGCCTCTTCGAGTTTTTATACACTAGAATGTCCATTTAAACACATATAGTCAATCTCCTCAGAACAATAGAACGCAGTTCAATTATATATAGGACTATGTGCATGTGGAACTGGCTTTCAACATTTTGTTTGTAGGCTACCAACGTACATTTACAGACATATTTGGAGTTTTTATTTTAGTCAATTATTAATATTAATTTATCATCAAATTTATTAATTTTTATGTCTTACGACAAAGTAAGAACTAAGAATGCATATTAAAACAAGTTTAATTAAACAGCTGCAATTTTATAAAATCAAAGTTTTAGATTAAAATATTCGATGACTATAAAAGTTTTACCACGAACGCCTGCTATTTTTTAATTAATCTTCTAACTAATATATCTGCATTCATTTTCGTTTCAGAAGTATTAGCCCCAGCAAAAATGAAACACCCACCGAGATTTTGGAAGAAGAGAAGTTTCCTCAGAAACATGATGATCACGAAATGTCAGGAAATTGCGATGAAAGAGGCCAATATGAGGAGCATGATCATTACTGGATTGCAAAGAACATCACAGATTTGATGAGTCATCTTCAAGGATACGATCGGAGAATTAGGCCATTTTTTGAAAGTAAGACATTATTGAAGTGTCTATACAGTATCAAACAGTCTGTATAGCAGTGTAGTTAGTGCCAATAATAGGAAGGGCTTTGCTCGAAACGTCGAAGTTCTCCTTGTATTTTTCAGGTAGTTGCATCCCTATTACTGAATCCGAAGTTCCCTGTCCACTAGCAGAAACTGAACAGATTTGAAATTGCTCTCAATTTTGCAAAACAGCTATTAGTATCCAGTTTTCGATATATATTGCTTATTTGGGTACTTATAATGTAGAATAATGAAAAAAAATTCTCGATCTCAAATTTTGTAAACCGGGGGGATGTCTTTTCCAACAAATTAAAAATGGCTTGCGCACGAGATTTAAAAGCTTTAATCGTATGTTGAGATAATAAGTGAAAAACGTGTTGGGTGTTTAATTCCGGCACGAAATTTCAGACAATTTGCTTCAGTTTAAGCCCTTTAACTATTCACGCAAACTTACATTTTTCCGTAAAAAATAGCTATTTGCATACTTAATTAATGCCTTTCTCTAATTTGCATACTATGTCAGCAATATGCAAATTAGGTAAAGGCATTAATTATTCATGCGAAAGGCTGATTTTTTAGGAAAAAATGAATGACTAAAGCAAATTGTCTGAAATTTTGTACAGTAATTAAAACCCCAACAAATTTTCCATCCATTAACTCAAAATATGATTAAATCTTTTAAATTTCGTGCGCGAGCCATATTTAGTTTGTTGGAAAAGACATACACCCCTGATTCACCAAATTTGAGTTCGAGAAATGTTTTTCATTGTTCTACATTATAAGTACCCAAAGAAGCTATATACATAAAAAAAAACATGATACTAATAGCTGTTTTGCGAAATTGAGGGCAATTCCAAATACACCCTGTATAGTAACACATCAGCTTTTGGTAGCAAACCGAAGAATCGCTGGTAATGAGCAACTATTTACATTCCCCAGTATAGAATTCCGTTAACTTGCTTTTTCCAACATAAAATGTATTCCACTCAATTGGTTTTCATATTAAGCAATTCAAATCACATCAAGGGAACTGAACTTAACAAATAGACTTATTCTAAAAATTGCCGTTTTCAGTTTCAAGGAAGAGGCAAGTTACCTAATTAACAAAAATTTTAAAAATACGTTTATGTCATTTCAAAAATACATCTCTTTGACGCAACCGAAAACAATGAAATATATTTTCATTTTCAAAGCTACCATTCAAAATCCGTGCACCTATGCATATGAAAGGCAAAAATGAATATTTCATTTTCGGCCCCACGTTGGTTTTCAATCAATGTTATATTTAAAGACAGTCTGAGAAAGATTGAACTTTAATAAACCGAATAGATTGGATTTTCAAATATTTTAAATTGAAATTTGACCGCTGTAAACTATTGTAGATAAAACATTTCCTTCAAATTATTTGCTCACCGCGGAAACTTTAAACTTTTTGCTCACCGCGGAAACTTTTCGTCAAAACTTGTTTAGAACGAGTGCCAATGACTGTTCAAGTTAACACGTATATAACAGCTTTGGGATCATTTGATGAGTTGGATATGGTAAGTACAGTCAGGTGTGTAAAAATTTATTAGGATAGTTTTGCTAAAATACTACGTCTGATTCTTTCACGCCGCAGTCGTTCTATATAATACCGTAAACCTCCGACTATAAGCTCTGGGCTTATATATTCTTTCTTAAGGTAATTCCGCAGTAATTGTTTCCGAAATGAGAATGTGCTGAAACTTCCCAGGCATGGAGTTTATGATATACTTAAAATAAAATCACACAAAAAAGTCGGGGTCACCGAACTCGTTAAGAAGATATGATAATCACAATATACCACCTTTACCCCCAATATGGCGCCATTTTGACACTCATTACGAGTAACAGCAAAATTACAACAGCCCAATTATTTATTGACGTTTTTAGCGCGGATTTTGCTTTAGTAAACCTATCTTGTAATTATTTTTGAAAAATATTGTGTTTTGAGCAAAATGAAACTACGAACGTGTACAATTCTAATCCACAGATGTCTTTTCCACATTTCTTTACATATCTTTCTTTGAGAACATGCATTGATAAAGGATTTTTTTTCAAGATCCAGAAATGATTTTTCTTTTAATTTCGGATATGAAATGTAAAATGCATTAAAGAAATAAATTATCAGTTAAAAAACGGGGGTCACCGATCTTTTTAGGGCATTGTGGCATCAAAACGTGAAATACAAGTAAATAAATATACTACAGACACAGGAACCCTAGCTAAACTTTTGCATGCCTTTTTTGAAAGCATAGATTTTAGCGTAATTCTTTGCACGAATGTAACCAAAGATGTTTTGAAGTAACATAAAATTGTAATAAAATGATTTTTTTTTAAACGATACGTATAATGAATGAAATTAT